GACAGTAGCCAGGAGTTCAAGCAGATATTAATCCCACAGATGATTGGACGATGGAGCAGAATGAGGGCGGTGTGTGTGTGTGTGTGTGTGTGTGTGTTATTAATCCAGTGATTTTTCCGATCCTCCTCCTCCTCCTCCTCTTCTTCTTCTTCTTCTGTTTCTTTGTTCCTTTATCATCAGATGCAGTTCCATCATTTTTTTTTATTCACCTCTCGGTTTCCAGAGCAGATTTCCCCTGGAGGGGGTGAGAGGGTGAGGGGGTGAGGGGGTGAGGAGGGCAGACATGGACCACTGAACCTGAAACCTGCTCCACTCCTACACCAGCGCCCGTCGATACTCCCTCGTTTTTCTTCACGTTCGTGGGCTCTAAGGCCCGCGCTCCGACTCGGGACGCCGTGTTTTCCCTTAATTTGGTTTCCAAAGGCGGCGGCGTTGACAGCAGACTGTACCTTTGATCTCACATCCCACTGCTCTCCTTAAAACATTTATTTCCACAGCAGCCGCACGTTGTTCTCCGTTTTGAGGAGAAGAAAAAACAAACTCTTCTGTCCGTGCGCTCTTTTTGTCTCGTCCTTCGACTCAGCCTGGATTTATTCTTCTATCTCCATTTCCCTGAAGCTTAAACTCACTGGTGGCCGTCCCCCCCCCCCCCCCCCCTCCCCCCTCAGTGCATGCATGCTAAAGTACATTAGCCACTGACTCGGGTCAAACTACTTTATTGTTTTAGTCGACGTAACTGCAGATCAACAGAGTAAAAATACAGCTTAGCATCATGTTAATAACATGTTAATAACATGTTAACATGTTAATGTTAATAACTACGAATGGACGGTAAATAACTACGAATGGATGGTAAAACTTTTTTCTTTTTTTCAGAAGCTCAAGTTAGAAAAGAAAGATTTGTCTAAACAGAGAAATATTGGCCATAAATTTCAGGAAACTTTAAAGATCGTACAACATTTTTGAAATTAAACAACAAAAATGACAAAAAGTCTTAAGCAAAAATTTAAAAAATCATGCAAATATATATATATATAAAGTTTCTGTAAGTTAGCTTAAAATAATCACAATAATGATAGATCATATTTTCAACGTTTAGCAACAGTTAGCCTCGAAAGCTACCACAATCACTAATGATAGAAACACATTTTCAACATTTAGCAACAGTTAGCCTCGAAAGCTACATCTATGACATTGTTATATGTAACTAAAAGATTAAAGCTAAAAGTTTGACTTTGAATTAATATTCAAAGCCACACACACACACACACACACCAGCCCTGTAAGTCATGGAGTGTGTGTGTGTGTGTGTGTGTGTGTCCATCTACCACTGGACGAGGAACTTGTTTGTAAAACTGTGTTGTAGTTTGTCTTTGTCTGTGAGAGCGTGTTCTCATCGTCCTTTTGATTTATTTACATGTGTGCAAACATGCATGCAGTCAAACATGCACGTGTGTGTGTGTGTTTCTGTGTGTGTGTGTGTGTGTGTGTGTGTGTGTGCGTGTTAGCTTGCCTGCAGCGCCACGAGAGCTCATTACCGTGCGTCTCTTTGTTGTGGCCTGTAGAGCGTGGCAGACCTTCCCAAAAATATGCACATGGCTAAACCAACGAGAACGGAAGAAAACAGAGGCAGGTTAATAATAATGGAGGACGGAACCGACGCAACGCCGAGCACTGGGGGCGCCCCCGAGCACCGGGGGGGCCGCCAGGAGGGGGTGTTAAAGAGGCACCGAACTTTTAAACCAACGTCAACTCTCTTTGGTCTCCTCCTCAGGTTCTCTCCGTGGAGCTCAGCGCTCAGAGTCGAAGGCTTCGCAGACGGGTCAGTCTCAACCGTCACCAGGATGTGGCGCTGTGCTGGTGGAACCTGCAGGAGCCAGGTGACGAGCTGTGGCCCTGGACCCCCACCGATGCTCACCGGAACAACGTGGTCCTCCTCAGCTGCTCTCCCACGGACGGACTCAAGGTCTGGAAGATCAGCTGTAATAAGACTGTATTCTCAACCCCCGGTCTGTGGACCGGTACCGGTCCATAGATCATTTGGTACTGGGCCACATGGGGACACTGTTTTTTTTTTATATACCGATATTATCACCCCGATATTAGCATAATTACGTAGTATCTGTAAGAATCGTTATCGGTTTTTCTCTCCGATAATGAAAACCGATGACGCGATGTCTGGGTTTGGCCAAATTTGCTGGAGTCGCTTGTAGACGTTTACCGCCGTTTCTGGGGCAACCAGCTGCATATATATCGGTTGATATCTGAATCAGAAATTTAGTGTTTAGACAATATCAGTTAAGTCTAAAAAATGTTTTATTTTGAAAATTTCACGATCCTTAAGGATAATCCAACAACTGGTCAGCAGTAACGGTCGGTGCCGGTCGATCGGTCCTCGGTACAAAACTGTTGCGGAACGCTGCCCTAGAGCAATGGAAGCCTACTGTATAAGAGGGGTTCAGAGGTCACCTTCCCGGTCCTTTTGACTTTGAGAAGGTCGATGACCTTGTCTCCTTGGAAGGTCTTGCCGCGGTAATAACCACAGGAATACCCGGAGTGTTGCGCCTCACGGTGGCGATGTCATGTAAATGCAGCGACTTCTTGGCAGAGATTCAAGAAAACGCTCTTGTTGAACGTTGGCTCGTCGCTGGTTCTCTGTGGTTTCGGAGCCACAGACCCCGGAGAGCGGAGCGTCCTCTGTGGTGACCTCCGTATCCTGCCAACGATGCAGTGGTTTATGGAAAATGAAGGACGGCTCTCTGGGGTGGGGGGGGGGGGGGTTGCACCGAGCGGTAAGGTATCGAAGTAGGTCGGAGCGTGAGGCGGCGTCTGTGTTTACACGTGGTCACATGACCACGGTTATTTCTGGTTTCCCTTTCTTTGATACAGTGAAGTCATTGACCCCCCCCCCCCCCCCCCCCCCCCCCACACCACTATATCCAACAATATAAAAAAGGCATCAAGTATCAGGGCGGGTAAGGCCAACATCATGTTACAAAGTAATCATCGCTCATTACTGCAGTTTTTTTTAGTAGTCGTCGTAGTATTTTAACACTGCTGCAGCTCTAACATGAACCGGAGCAAAAAAAAATACAGAAAAATACAGACGAGGAACTGAAGTTCCAGATAAAAACAACTGGTACTATTACTGCCCTGGTACTATTGTTGCCCTGGTGCTGTTGTTGACCTGGTACTGTTGTTGACCTGGTACTATTACTGCCCTGGTACTATTGTTGCCCTGGTGCTGTTGTTGACCTGGTACTATTGCGGAGTATTATGGTCTGTAGGTGATTAGCTCGTCTCTTCTGCTGTAAAATAGTTCCAGGAGAGAAAAAAAGAGTGGGATCAGTGAGAGGATGAGGAGAAGGTGACAACACCACGTGTTTGGAGTGGAGTCTGTTGTTGTGGATAGGATTGGCGACGGCGTGTTAGTCACCTCGAGGGTGGCGCCTCTGTGTTGCAGCGCGGCGTATCACCATATGAAATAAGCAGGAGAGCTTAGCCGCAGCACAGTGTGACGGAGAACGAACACCTACGCTTCCTCACCGCCGCACAACAAAAAAAAGAAATATACCATCCTCCCCGTGACTCCTTTCTGTGTCGGAGTCAGACTTGGCCTGGAGCCGGGAGCAGATGAAAGATGTCAAATTACCAAACAGCAGCTTAACTCTTTGGTAAACATGTGCAAACTCTAAACAGCGGCACCGAGGAGAGACTCTGGGAGAGAGCAGCGTTACCAATCCCATCCTGGGAAAACAAATTCCCGCAGCACGGGAGGAAGGAGGGACGGGAGGTGGAGGGGCGTATGAATATTGAAATAACCAAAGCTGAGGTTTTTTGTTTTGTGTTTTTTTTTTTTTTTGGAATCCTCTCCACGTTTATCACACTCCTTCACCTACACTAGTTTATTCTTCTCTCTCTTCTTTTTTTTCTCCCCCTTCCCTCCACGCTCCGGCGACATTAAAGTCTCGTCGGCGGCGCTGCAGCATCGCGCTCTAATGAAAGATTTGTTGTCATTTTTTTTCATGATGCGCGGTGTGAAATTAAGCGAGCAGTCGGTGTAAGAGCCGTGGCAGGAATCAAACGGCGACGCCAGCCACTTCAATCACTTCAAGCTCACATATATGTTCCTTTTGTTGCCGCTGCTATCGCAGCACTAAGCCAATTTCCTCGCCAGTCTCTCAGCATTTGGAAAAGTCTGATTTCGTTCCCTATGTGGTCTTAATTTATATGCCCCCTCCAAACACACACACACACACACACACACACACAGATAAGTGGTGCCTCAGTGAGCAGCGGGGATGAAGGACGGGAAAAAGAAGGAAAATATTATATAGTTTGTCGGGTTTTTTTTTTTTGAGTAATCAGTTACTGTTTTACTGAGTCTTCCTTCATGTTTCGCTCCTTCACACACACACACACACACACACATATTAAAACAATCATCAACAAACCATTCCCTTGGAATTTTGATAATCTTAATGAAAAGGAAAAAAAAAAAAAACAAGGCGGATCCATTTTTTGCAGTCGAACAAACACTTGTTTTTGTGTTTTTTTTTTTGTTTTTTGCCGTCCTTTTATCTGCTGCCTCACACTCTCTCTGCTGCCTGTGATTCGACGGCCTTTTAATTATTACTGACGTCTGTCTGTAACATGAAAGACACTCAGAGAAGGAACTAAGAGCAA